AATAATCTCTGATATATACATATATAATATATAATAGTTGAAATGTTCACTGTATTTTACTAAATACTAGTCTACTAAAACACAGCAAAGACAGGGTCACTTTGTAAAGCCTAAGGGTCAACTATATATAATTTAATACAGTTTATTTCATATTTTTTTATGTTGGTTACAAGATCGGTCAAATCTATCGAACCCCGTAGAGATTCGTTAGTGAAATTAACAGATAAAATATAAAGTTTTTCTTTATGAAACGTTTGATAACTATCTGGACATTATATAGATTTTGTATTGTGAAATTTGAAAATTCTCTGATGCATACAAATATTTTTAATCTTAAAATGAAAATTAATTTGCATGTTGGATAGGTAACGAGTGAAAAGAAGAGAAGAAAAAAGGTATGAGGAAAACATTACTTAACAAACCTTAAGAATTAATAAATAAATTGATATTTTGAGTATGAAAGCATTGTAATGTTAACTGATAATCTCTCATTTTTCACTATGTTGAACTAGCTGTATGATTTCTGTACTTCACAGGAAGATAAATATGTCTGTCCCTGCTTATAAGAAATTTTCACATTTTCGACGTCCATTTTGACTGAAATTGCAAACATATATACATGTATAAAGTCTTTAATGCCAAACTGATATGAAAAGTTCTGCAGGTCCTGTTCAATCAAATTATTAGAAACATTTTGTTTGGATGGTTTAACAACTGGACATTTAATTACGATCAGCTTTAAAGAAGAATATTTCGAACGTCCTTATTTCGCACGAAAAATATCTCAAACATAATATAGATGTGGTGATTTAATTAAAGGAGCTGACTTGATTTTTTGTACTGTAAGATTACAACTGTTTAGTGGTTACGAACAATTCTAATTGAGACATGCTTAAACATACTGGAAATAAACACAGCATCATCACCCATCTGACGTGAGAGAAAGACAAACGATTAGAACATCTAAATACAAAGACAGTCTATAAAAGTATGACACAAGAACCAAAAGTATATTTGAAACGTTCACGGTCAGTATATAACAAGTAAAAACTAAGTGGGGGGGGGGGGGTTCCAGAGAGAAAGAGCTGAAACCCCCGAAACGTTTTTTTTAGTTAGTATATCGGATTTTCAAGTTAACTTGTATGATGTTCACTCTAATCATTTTAAGGTCTAAACGGATATTAAATAACTTTTCGAAGCTCTGGATAGTCGATTCGAGTACAGAGCCAACTACGTAACCAAACCAACATCCTGTTTACTAGATTTTCAATGGACACTGATCTTCAACCTTTGATTCAAGGTTAGTTACACTTACTATTACATTTAACCTTTCCGTGGTTTTTGATCTGTGTTTATGAAACTTGGTTGATGAAGTGAAATTTTAACAAAAACTTAATTGTATTACATAAAGGTTTATTTGTTTGTTTGTTTGAAGTTAAGTACGAAACTGCACAATGGGCTATCTGTACTCTGCCCACCACGGGTATCTATACTCGGTTTCTAGCGTTGGTTACATATAGGATCAATATACTATGAACTTAACCTTTCACTCTAAGCAACCAAGTCCGTCAATTAGTCAAAGTATAACATTCAAATATTTCACAGAATTTAATTAAAATCAACCAAGTTTCAAGCTGTTTGTTTTTTAAAATCATTACATCACATTGACATAAAATTGCTAACCTTTATATTTCCACATCCTAATCAGTTTTGGTCAAGTGTTGTCAATCTTTCACCCTCAATTGTAAATAATATATATGTTTGTTTGCTTTAGAGCAAAGCCACATTGAGTTATCTGCTGTGTCCACCGTTGGGAATCGAACCTCGGATTATAACGTTGTAAGTGTATAGACTTCCCGCTGTCCCATTGGGGGACAATATATATGTATTTTTCTGTATATAGTTTTACTATTCACAATTGCTCATCAAAATTAGTTTAATTTGAAACTAATGTTATCAAACTTTTATAAATATTGAGTTTGCGGATACCATATTCTGTTCGTACAAGTTAGTTCTGCAGTTCATAAATGTACAAATAAGTGAAAACAACCAGGGACATGATTGCTTCTTTCATTTAGTTTACAACGTAACATTCTTAAACTAAACTAAAAACAGACAATAAACTATATCATATTCACGTTAGGCTATATTGTCCTATAACTTCTAGTAAAGTTTATTTTGTTAATTTATTTTCAATGGGTCTAAATAATGATTTAATTCTAGTTTCATGAGCAATCCCATAAAATACATTTTATTTTTCAACGTTTTAATGCATGGTAATAATTACTAAGTGTGTTTCATTTATGTATTAGTCTATGGATTAAGTGAAACTCTCATTGTTGCTTCTGTGGAAAAAGGAAAGACTACTCCTAACTCGGTTGGAAAATTAATTCCTTCAACAGAATTGAAGGTTTGTTTTTGCCTATATCCATTTTAGTAGATTATATCATTGTTGTTTTTTTGTGGGCTATTTGTTGTGTACCCATCAGGGATCTTAGTGTTCCAAGCCTACAAGCTAATCGCTGAGCTACTGGGAGAGGTGGTTTATTGCATAAAGCTTCAGCAATATAACACGCTGTGCAAATATTTAAAAAATGGCGAGATAGCATGTTTTAATTGTTGTCTTTTAGTGAATAAACTGGACAAATCCGTATTGAATTATTTTGCACAAGAACTAAGTTACAATGAAGAGTTCGTTCAATTTCAAAAATTAATTAATTAAATACGAACGGTATTAATTCTGTATGGAGTATAAAGAATTACAGTTACACAATTATTCATAAAAGGGAGAAGTTAACTGCAACTTAAGGTAACTTGAAACTGACCTAGCCTGAAGGAGGTCATGTAAAGCTTTACTCAGAATGTATACTGTCATGTTGTATATATTCGAGTGTCATATGTAGTTGGAAGTGGGTAAGTTACTCTTAAAAATAGCTTTCATACGAACTAAAGTTCCGTTTTGAGGAAACCTTATAATCTATTGTTGGGATAATAATGTGTATTAAAATATTACAATAGTGTTTATTGTTAGTTTAATGATGTACTAAAATTAATACTATATAGTTCATTGTTACTTTAGTAATGTTGGTTACAAGTGTTACAGTGAATGTTATATGATTAGTAAGAAAAGTAGATAAAATTGAAAACTGGAAATACATTTTTGCCGAATAATACATAAAATATAGATGTAATTAAATCCTTAGAATTTTATTTTGCTATTTTGAACATAATGCATCCAATCCTTATGATGTTTGTGAAAGTATTTTATATTTAAGTTAGGGATTTGAAACAATGTCTCTACAGGATAGCTACAGTATACCAGTACAAGGTTTTGATGAAGAAGGCGAAAATTGTGCACTATAAAATGTTTAAAGAGTAACCAGAGTTAGCACATGAATATTTCACATCTATAATTTTGAGAACAATTTTCTTAAGAAAAAGGTTATTGTTAACAAAACCCAGACAAAATAGTTTCACGAGCCATTTTATATACCAGAACTTTGTAAAAAGCTTCGTGAAATGGTTATCTTTATCTTAGTAAATACTTAAGCACAATCGCATTTAGGTGTTATCTTGAATTTCTACCTGGTTTTGTTGTACCGTATTAATTATATGCTTCCTCCATCATGTGGAATATGTAATTGTTTCTCCCAGTTACTGTGCCTGTAAGACACTTTGTCAGTTTTAAACGACAGCAAAAAAAAAAAAATAATAATTATCATGTACCTAAATTTACATTATCAGGTTGTTGATTTAACCACAGGGGTCGCTTTAGGCCCAAATGAAGGTGGAGAATTTTATGTTCGTAGTCCGCAGGTGATGAAATGCTATCTTAATAACCCCAAAGTTACAGCAGAAGTTTTTACGGAAGATGGTTGGTTTAGAACAGATCAGTGAGATTGTTTTTACAGCTATCACATGAACATTACTTGTTATTTATAAAAGAATTGTTGTTATTTTCAGTTTGCATCTTTACCTCCAATTGTTAATGTTGTATACTTCTTCGCTAATTGTTACGGTATTAGTGCTACCATTATTGTTTTTCTGTTTCATTGGGTGTTATCTTTACACTTCTTTTCATTCGAGGACTCTCATCGTTAAAGTTTTCTGTGTTTTTGAGTATTAAATTTAAAACATTTTCATCTTGCCTTGGAATCAGAATTTTGGAATAACAAACTTTTTTAAACTGGTCACTTAAAATTGCGGCTGAAAATATCATTAAAAGAGAAGTTGCCAAACATTTCATTAAAAGCCTTCTAATCAATATCAGTTTTCAATTTTATGATGTATATGAATTTTTAATATTAAGCGTTTGTTTGTTGAATTTCGCGCAAAGCTGTTCACAAGTTATCTGGACTAGCCATCCATAATTTTAGAGTGATAGACTAGAAGGAATGCACCATCACCGACCACCAACTTTTGGGTTACTTTTTACCAACGATTAGTAGGATTGACCATGATATTATAATGCCCGCACGGCAGAAGAGCAAGCACGTTCGGTGACTGGTTCGATCCGCCAGACTGCAAATTGAGCTCCTAACCACTTGGTCATGCTAAGCCTAAACATTTGTAGTTATTTTGTGGAAAGCTGTTATCACAACTACATATCCATTAAGCATTTCTTCGATTGACTGAGTTTTAGTTCTTAATAGAAAGATTACAGCATAATCTGCTTCGGTCATTTTGATCTAACCTAAATGTCAGCTCCCCAATGGGTCAGCGGAGAGCATGAGAGCTTATAACGATAAAATTCAAGTTTCTATATCCGCAGTAGGCACAGATTGTCTATTGTGTAGTTCTATGCTAAAGAAATACCAAAAAATCACATTTGAAAGCAAACGTCAGTAAAAAGAATATTTGTAACCTGCTTGAAAGTAAATTCTTTACTTGAGTTTTTCTGTCAGCACTTAATAACTCTGATTTTTACTATCAGATTGCCATTACTCAACGGTTCTGTCAAATTTTTCCTTAATAACTAGATAAGTAGAAGCTAAGAAATGCTGCATTAGAAACACGATCTCTTATGTTGAAACTGTTTTTCTTTGGTAAACAAACATACAGATTTACAACCCGATTTCTAATTCTACATCTTCAGGGTAGTGATATTAAAATGCAAAGTTAACATCGCTTTAAAGTAAACAAAATAAAAAAATACATGTTTGACTTTCATCGATCATTTTACCAGATTACTGACAACATAATTATTATTATATTGAAGCAATGACAACTAATTCTTTATGTTTTCAGATTTTAATATTGTTATGTGATTCTATCCGAAATAGCAGATTAAAACAAAGATTGTAAATATTCAACCAAACCTAAAAATATACACTTATCAACAATAGTTGTTGTCAGCAGGAGATTTTGGCCTTACGACTTGAAGGGAAATCTCTACATCACTGACAGGTTAAAAGAAATGATCAAATCAGGATTTCATCAAGTTTCTCCTACTGAAATAGAATCTGTGTTATGTAGTCATCAGGCAATAGAGGACGCCGCTGTAGTAGGAATCCCAGATTCCACTTTGGGAGAAGCGCCTTATGGATTTGTGGTGATGAAACCAGATAGTCACGTGACACCTGAAAACATACTTCGTTTTATTTCCGGTAAAATTGTCTTTTCTGTCAGAAACATTATTGGTAGAAATGGATAACTAACTTTTCCAGTCTAAGATATACTCGAAAGTATTGTAATGTATGAATATTATGGTAAATATTAAACAAAGGGCTCGAATTTTCATGTTACTCAAACAATGAGTACGCAACATCATTAATTACTATAGTGTGAACACCCTTTCTAAACTGACGAAGGATTTATTAATAATATTTGTCATAAGGTAACAGTATTAGGCCTGTTATATTTTATAATATTATATTCCCTATTCAGTCTGTTATTGATTTTTCAAGAAGAAGAAAAGGGTATCATAACGTTTCTGCCACACTATGAATACGGTGCAAATAGTTTGGTTGAAATATATTTATATACAATTTTTCTTCTTGAAAATTGAAAGCAACTAGTGGAAGATTGTTGCAGATTAACGATTCTGTCTTAAGGTAAGGAAAACACTTTTGTTATAAATAAGGTATTAAGCGTGTGTTTCAGTCTATATAGTTTGTATATGTATTAAGTTCAGAGACATGTATGTAATATTTAGCCAACAATTAGTGCACACAACACACAAATTAGCAAAAATCAACTGCAGCGCTATCTCTTGGCTTAACACCAAATTAAAAGTAGTAATACTTAGTCAAGTAATATAGATGGGTATAACATCGTTTAGTAAAAAAAAAATTCAAATTAAGCTTAAGAAAAACTTTACTGGCAAATCACTGTTGTTATTTTTTATTAAACCAATCTACTAATTTTTTCTTATAATAATTACTTTATGGTTTTTAGCACTTACTATTTTTAATTGTCAAAGAAGTGTGAGAGTGTTAACATTGAAAAGTCAGTTTTCTTCAAAGAAACTTGCTTGTAACAATCAAAATGGTCTTAGTTTTCTTTTCGTTTTTGAGTTGAAATTATACTGTTGAAAGCAGATACACCTATGTATAACAATTCTTGTTTGTTTATTATTAAGCCCAAAGCTACACTATGGCCTGTGATCGACATGAATGTCAATGGTATATAACCCTGATTACTTTTAACGTTATAAGCTTACCAATGAACCACTGGGATCGATAAGAACATTATGTTATTATTACGTAACATTTTCGATATTGTTGAAAATTGTACAAAACTCCTCCAATTGCAATTAAATATATATATATATTTTAATTTTAACAATTAATAATTAATAAATACATCAAAATACATAGCTGTCTAGATGTAACCTTCATGTACCGATAAATTATTTTCAGTTTGATGAAAACTGATAAGTTGAACATTCCATAACTTATCATAGAGACACTTTTATTTAAAGTTCCATATGTATATCGTATTGATGGCTTTTACCAGACTTTCACTAGTGTAGTAATATTCAATATACAGCCCAGCCTTAATAGACTTAAACTGATGTAATAGCTTTAAAAATACAACCCTGTACTAGAGTGTTTTATTTTAACAGCTCGACTGTATTGTTTTTATAGCTCGTCTAGCGCCACAGAAACAGCTGAAGGGATTGGAGATTCGAGACCAAATTCCCCGATCACAGTTCGGCGAGATCGAGCGTAAATATCTGAACGATCATGTAGTCCAAAAACTGAAGAAATAACCACTGGTCAGTGGCTCTCAGACAACACTACAACATATACACTTCTTGTTTTCGATTGATGGATGGAAAAGTATTTTCTGTAAATTAAAATAAAAGCATATATTGTTTTCGTAAGTATTATGAGTATTTGATCTATATGTGTAAAAAAATTAGAAAAAGTGGTTAGGATGCTTGATTCGCAATCTGCAGATCGTGGGATCGAAACTCGTCGTAGAACAACTCACCCCTTCAGTTGTGGAACTGTTATAATATGGCGGTCAGTCCAACTATTCATTAGTAATGAGTAGCTTTTAGCGATATTCCACAAACAACAACAACAGTATTACGAAATGTGTTTATTTGTGAAATAATTGTATTGAAATTCAACAAAACAAAACCATGAAAACACTGTATTAGAAATACAAAATTACTTGTATCGGTGATATTGTTATCATACAAGCACCTTTTGAAAGTAAATGATCTTTGGTGGAATCAAACTAGCTCTCCACAATTATTAAGACAAAGTGTAACGACATCCACGTAGGAGTAATGAAATCTTAGAATTCACGTTAATGCATACTTTTAAAGTTTAAAGTGTTTTTTGTCCTTTGAAGATAATGAAGAAATATAAAAAAGTATAACGAATAGTCGTCATCACTGTATAACCCGCCAAAGGCTGAAAAAGTGAGTATGTTTTGACCCCACGACCTGTGGTCTGTTCGTAAATTGTTTTCCCATTATCATGCTTCAAGTTGAACAAAAAATGCGGCCTGTCTAACTAATGAATGAATATTTGCTGTAAAATTCTTATCAGTGCTATAAGTGTAGCTACCAGTTTGGCCACACACTCAATCCTTTTTTGGCCGCACCTTTTTTCACACCTAAGGTGTTTTTATTATATTAATATACCTGTATAAAGGTTTATAAAGCTGATATCTTTAAACACTGGTATATATTTAATGGTCTTTTTTTCTGTCCAAAATATGAGCATTCAACCCGTGCATTTTCGTTTTTGATATTTTTCATGCAGTTTAATATCATAATATAATTGTATCATCATGATATTAGATGGAGCTTAAAATAATAGTTTTGTAAATTAGTGAGATAATGATGCTTTGAACAATTACACTAGCAAAAAGTTTCACAAATTACCCGAAATAAGGGAATCAATTTTAATGCGTCGTTTATAAGTGAAACAGTATTCTATTTATATCACAATTTGAAACTTCACATACGTTACATGTGGGTATAATAACGAAAGATAAAATATTTGTCATTGTATTGGTCTAAAGGATTCTATATATTTTTAATAACACAATTACATCTCTTTTATATGATAATTAAATTATATACTGATGACAAAAGTTTTTCATAAAAATCTAATAAATCCTAAAGAAACAGTCAAAATTCATAAATCTATGCAACATATACTTCCTATTGGTAACAACTTACATCTAATACCACTGTTTTCTGCGTAATTTCCAAGTCTTAAGATCAAACGTGTTTTATGCTGAAAAGTTAACGAAAAGCTATCTAAAGCACATAGAAAGGTATATATATATATATAAATATTTGAGTGATCTCTAAACACGGACAATGTATACAAAATACAGGTAAAGTTCTGAATGATAGCAAACACGTATAGAAAACAATGTGTATTAGCTATAAAATTATCTAGATATTATCCATGCAAGTAGATGTAAACAACGTGTATTTCATTCTCAAAATGTTTAACCAAGCAATATGTAATGACAGTGACTGGATGTAGTTAATGATAAGTGTGAGTAAATATTGATAGCAGGCTTGTTACAGTGAGGTATCCTAAGCTGAAGAAAAATTAAATTTTCAAACAATAAAATTATCCTCTAATACTTAACATAAAATGTAATTATTTTTTAGTAGTTTAATAAATATTCTTTACTGTCTTCGTATTTGTACATTTGGTACTTTGAAATATAAGTGTTCTTGGACTTCCTCTTAATGCCCCACCAGCCGACATCGTTAACTGTGTATCTTCATGTTTTCATTTTCTACATATCTCCTTACCTGTTCGTTGTGTTCATGAAATTCGAATTGAAATGAATATTTTGTAGAATTTATCTTACTTATATCCACTGGTGAATTTAGACATCTAAACTCGTTAGCACCTCAAGCACAAATCACCAATACTTCTGAGATTTTGCAGTTATAATAACAACTAATTTCTCAAAATATCCTTTCCAGATATATATGTACGTTGTGGCGTTAACACATTAGCAGGTGGTGTATTTCGTTCGGTGACATCAAGATATACCTGATTTCTCATTGAGACTTGTTTTCCGGATGATACTGTGGACCAGAATATTTTATAAAAATCCCAAATATGACAAGTTACTCACATGCATTTCGAGAAAACCTTATATATTATGTGATCTGTAAAAGAAAGACGCATTTTAGAAGATCGTTCACGTCAATATCTCTCCTGCATAAAAATTAATGACACTACACAACACACACAGGCAGACTTCAATAACTCTTCACATTCTACCTCTGACTTATCTGTAATTTGCTACACGATGGCTAACAGGGCTCATTCGTTTCTTTGTAGTTGTGAAGCCCAAAGCTACACAATGAATTAGCTGTCGTGTTCCCACCACGGGTATGGTGGAAACCTAGTGTTTAGCGTTATAAATAAGATTTCAGATTTTCTGCTGAGCAAGTAGGTGGAGGGGGTATACTATCTGCGTTAGCCGTTCCTAATTTTCAAATGACAGACTAAAAAGAAGGCAGATAGTCGACACCACCCACCGACAACTCGTGGGCTACTCCAATCGAGTAGTGGATTTTGCCAGTTACTCTTGTAACACAACAATGCTAAGAGTGCTGAGAGCGATTTTTCATAGTAACGGGGCGCGAACCATAAAACTAAGAGATTCCCTCAAACAATATTTGATTGTTTAAAATTAGGTACTATTGATCCCCTTGATTTGAACGAAGATATTTAACATTTTTCTCTTCCAGTTTACCTCATACTTCCTCATAACGATCTTTGTTTTGCTTGACATTTAGTTTAATGAACGAGTTCCTTGACTTATTCATCAGTTCGATCACTTAAAATTGTTTGTTATATTAACCAATTTTTCTTTACCATATTTCTTGCATTTGCAATTATTTTTGTTCAATTAGTCTGATTTCAAATTGACTATCTTTTTCATCATTTTATATTCATTCCCATACCTTTCGTTGTGGTATCTCTAGCACGCGTTCATTCTTTCATTGTTTGTATTTTTAACCGATTAATTTAGTTCGTTATTTACTTTGTTTATCATTTAATTACTTTAATTTCCTATCCTTCCATGATTTTTGTCTTCTAACTTTACTCAACTAATTAGTTTTTGTGTTAATTTATATATCTTTGTTGTGTTTTAGCTGATAGTCGCTGGGCTAGTCTCAACCAAACTTTGTGGAATGATAGTTTGAACAAAACGTCTTATATATCTTATAGAGTTCACTAGTACTCCCAATGGAAGAATGCAATGAAAAACATGGCCACCACTAGTGCAATAATACATAAACTCAGTTGAAGTTTATACTCTAACAGCCATGATAAGGATGATATGAAGAGCCGTTTATTCACTTATGGCCACTTGACCCGTGACGTTTTAGTTTCGGCCCTTAAGATACTTCTGTAACCAATGTCCTTCAATTGATTAATCATGTAAAAACAGTGGAAGAGCATTAAGAGCGGATAACAGAAAACACCCATACCGCCACTACTTTGGCCACTACCTCATCCTTCAAAGTCACCATGACCATCGTACAGTGTATATACCATGTTTTAAGCATATACATATTGAGTTATTAAAACTTATACAAAACCTTTGGTGAGGTAATAATGAATACTGTAATAATATGCTATGTTATAAATAAATTGTGCGAAAGTTAGGATTTTTGTGTTATTTATCATAGCATCCACCCACACATTTTTCGAAGTTCATAACATGGACAAAGGACGATTATCTCGTCTTGTATATATATATATACTAATACCTGTTCAGTTACATATTCCATTACAAACACTTACTAGCCACTTTATGCTGACCCACGCCTAAGATTGAGCTAACCATATTTATCCAAGATAATAGCTTGGACTCTGGGTGATATAGGCTACACAAGAAGCTGGAACGTGCATTATTATATTACTGCTTAAGAGTAAGCTCTGGAATGGTTTCACATAGGTTGGTAAAGTATTGCGATAGCGGATGACAAATTGAAGTACATCTTAAGGACTTTCAGTTAGATAAAAATTTGGTGATTGGGCTGACCAAAGAAGTTGAATTGATTAAATATCATGGTCTTCGAACGATGGTTGTTCAGTTGTTGATTTGGAAGAATTTTGTCTATCAGGGGGAAATAAAGCCTTGTACCATGGTCATGATCGGCAACAACATCCAAGTATACTCTGGATGTTATTATTCCGTTTACAGGAATCAAGAGACTCAAACTGTGCGAAGAAAACGGTCTCTACTCTATTGTATCATTTCCAGGAAATTGCAGAATTGGAAAAACATATGCAAAACTCAGATGGGATATTCTACACGTTTTACTTTACAATTGATACTGAACATGATGATACAAGTCTCATCAGATCATATCACACGCTCCCAGTCATCCATTTGGCATTCGCAGATTCACTGAAGCCGTTATTTTGTATTTGTATCTGCACTATTCTTCGACTTGTTTTCTGTTGTCATATGATTGTTCTTGTTTATCCTTTGCATGTAAATAGTCGTATACTACCCATTATTAAATAAAAGCCACTAAGTTGGGTTAGACTTCAGTCGGTCATTCAGTGATAGATACATTCCCTTTACATTGACAATTTGTTTTTAGATTCTAGTTACAGATTTCTTTAATCAACCAATGAAGAAATGGTCTTTGATGACGATGCTCTTGCTAGACCAATAACCAAATGTTACATTCTTTTGAAAGATTAATACATTCTGCCACTTACCCATTGTTTTGCAGATTAGCAAGATGATTTCATTAGGCATTTATATCATTATGAGATCAGTAATCTGAGACATATCATGTTCA